ATGTATCTCCGATACTAAGACTGCTTTCAGAGTGAACTAATGATTTTCTCCGAGCAAAGCTCGGTCCCCAGGTACTTTGGTAGAATTCAGTAACTCCCAATAAATGTGTGTTGTTTAAAATACAATTTTAAAAGTAACAGCTGTTTTATTAAAAAGTATTATCCACATGACCAAAATGTAAACAAATCTGTGGAGGGATCTTTAAAATCTTCTGGGGCAGAGCCCTAATCGAATTTACGTAGTTTTTCTTTTGATAACTCATCTACAGACGAAGACCTTTCTTTGGACGCCTCTACCAAGTTTCTACGCCCAGCCGTTCTCTCAAATTAGTGGAGACAAAGTTTCCAATTAAATATTGGGATTTCCCCATGTTAATCTTATGGGAGAAAATCCAACTTTGATGGAAGATCTTGCCGAATCTAATAAAGATATCAAAAAACTAAAAACACTTTGCTAAACTACAGATCAGGGTCATTTTTTGACACTTTAATCACCAAAATCTGTCAAAAAATTAGGGAGGAGTTCTGTTTACAAAAATCGGCTTAGCGTATTATATATATAGATGCCAACCCCGTACGAAGAACAGGTATTCTGCTAGTTTTAAATAAATTGAGACCGTTTTAATAATGCATTTTGCCTTAGATAAGGCATCAAAAAATCTATTTTTTTCGCGTTTCTACACGTAATATAGAAGGCTCAAAGGAGGTTTCGAAAGGTAACCCTCTAACATCAATTAGCGATTTAGTAGGATAATATATACAATCTCAAACATGCTTCCGACTGCGAGTACCTTCTCTTCAATTGCAAATGACCTGCTTGAAAAATAGTTTTAGTAAACTGAACCATTACTGAAGTGTATCAAAATATATATTTGTGATACGATACATTGGATGGGTTATACATTTAAATAATACTCAACCTAAAATTATCCATCAATTTGTTCCCGTAATCATATCAATTATTAATACATACTAGACTTCGACATCTGGCGGAGTTTGTCAGAACTGTGAGGTTGTAGTTCTACAAAATCTCCGCCAGGTGCACTCACGTCGCGCTCGCTCTTGCTCTGAATTTGGATTTTCTTGTCCACGTTCGTTTGGTCCTTCTGCCATACCGATTTTCATAATATTGGTCTTAAATTAAAGGTTTGTACGCACAGATTTTCTATCGAGCAGTGATGATTTCATTTATCTACATTGTTCTATAGTTTAATTAACCAGCTGTCTCCTTAAATGATAGTGTTAATTCAAACGTATTCATCTGTTCAAATGTAGACAAATATTTTCTCTACAAGGATATAATGGGAACTTAAAAGACCACTGGGGCGGAGCCCTGGGGAGATTCCCAAAATGTCAATCCTCACAAATCTTCCCGGGGGTTTATAGAACAACTTCCCTTAGTTTCATGGTTTCATCACGTCGGACGGCTGGGTTTGTAACGCATAAAGGACAAACAAAATATGACAAACATACATTGTATTTAATAATCCTATCATTTAGCTACAAAAAACATTAAGCAAAAAAGTAGTGGGAGAACTTCCCCTCAGACCACCTAAATCATAAAAACTAAAAACTGTTCCGTATAACAATAATCTTGAAAAGGTATTGCAATGGATTCATTTTACCTTGGAAACCAGTTTTGGGCCCTTAGGCCGGCCACACACAGAACCAGGCAAGGCGGGGCGCGACAGGGCATTTTGCCCCGAGGCGTCTTGTGCGACGGGAATTGCACGGGCGCTTATGGAGCTCCACACACAGGACCGGGCGAGGCAGGGCACGTCGAAAAGACGCCCCCGGGCGCCCTCAGGGCAAAATGCGAAGGTCTCCAAAATTATGCCCCGAGGCAAGTCGCTGCCGGGCAGAACTTTCTGCGCATGCGCGGTCATGTGATTTATTCCCTTTCGGGCTAATTTTGATAAGGATTATTTTACAAGTGATACAATTTACATACAAGACTGTAACAGTTTATACGACCAAAGATTACACCCTTTGATAAGACTATGCAGTGATGATATTACTACAGTGGTTGAATAACTAATAATTTATCTTGGTATTGATAACTGAGGAAAAAGAGGGCCAACGTTCATATCTTAAGGGTTTCAAAAATCACTCCTCTGGAGGTATGACTTTGAATTTTGTTTTCTATTCTGCTCCCAAGTATAAAGTCAAATTTAAAAGTTGGCTAAATCGGCTCAGGGCTCAGAAATAAAAAAAAATCTTATATTAATTTTCAGGTTTATGGGGGCTAAACTTTTTACTTGACGTGCCCTGCCTCATTCTGTGTGTGACAGCAACAAGACAGGGCTTAAGTCAGGCGTCTCGTCGTGCCCTGTCGCGCCCCGACCCGCCTGGTTCTGTGTGTGGCCGGCCTAAAACTGCACAATTGGCGCCTGGATCTTCCTCGTAAAACACTACACTTATGCTTAACGCACTTAATTCACTTATATACTTATATGCTTAAGGGTGAAAGGGTCTGTAACACCGCTTTTTAGACGACTTACTTTGACAGATTATTACGATTGATGTGTCGATTCAAAGCTTAACCTGCGAATAGTAACTAAAAAGAACAATTACCTTTATGGCTTCAAACCCCCCCCCCACCCGCGCGTTTGGTTTTTTGAGTTTGCGTTCAAAGATACAGTAAATGCTGGTCAACTTTTTTCATAACGGTTTAAACACAAACATTATGTTGTCATTATGTTGACAAGAGACGTGACAGTTGAATATGGATTTTAAATCGACTATTTACGGTAAAGCTTACATAAATAAGCGTACATAAATAGTAAAAAATGTAAAGTATTGTAAATTATTAGTTTTATTCACCTAACTGTCCCAACCAAATACAATCTTTGAAAAGAAAAATGGTATTACGGGCGGTTTTGTACCCCTTTAAATTATAATGTACAATCTACAATTTTCCACAGAGGTTCCCTCGTAATATAATAGTATATTTCGTACCTAGGGCCGAAAATGAGGTTTTTGCCGGCTCGAGATAGTTTTTAAGTTCGAGACGAAATCGAGAACTTATAACAATCGAGAGCTGCGAAACCATTTCGGTCCGTGGTACGAACGCTAATTTTCACCACGCTATACCCTATTACCACTATTCACCACAATAATAATGCACACTGATAGTCAACACAACTACCAACTTGAAGGTTATGTGAAGAAATTTGAGGAATCAGCAAAAATAATAATAAATAGTTGCTAGGCAGCGGTGACAATAAACAATTCTATTACAAATGCTATGGGTACTGACTGTGTATTTAATATGCATTCAAGTTTTAAGAAAGTAAGTGGGCAGCTGATTTTGTGGCCCTAGGGATGTAATAACCTGCTCGGTCCCCAAATGATGTTGACAGCTGGCATGGCCAGCCAAAATTTAATTTCAGCCATCAATTAACGTATGTCAATCAACTAAAATCAAAGTGTCGTGAAAAAAGTAACATGAACTCAGCTGTAATAATTTACAGTACCTACAGAAAATGTAGATTGTCAATACTTTCAGCCTTAAGAAGGCTTCAAAAATTCTATGTAGCGCGATTATTCACGATACGTAGTTAAGAAAGGTATACGATGGGGTATTATCCATCCAGTGATTATATTAGTGTTGTTTTATGGATATATACAATCTCAAACATGCTTCCGACTGCGAGTACCTTCTCTTTAATTGCCAATGAACTGCTTATAAATAGTTTTAGTAAACTAAACCTTACTGAAGAGTATTGAAACATATATTTATGATACTATATGCTGAATCGGTTATAAATTTAAATAATATTTAACCTAAATTTATCAATCATTCTGTTCACGAAATCATATCAGTTAATAGATAGTAGACTTCGACATCTGGCGGAGTTTGTCAGAACTGTGAGGTTGTAGTTCTACAACGCGCCGCCAGGCACACTCGTCGCGGCCATCGAGCTGCTCTTGCACTGTCTTGCACTTTGCACTTTGCACTTGCACTTACTTGCACTGACCATTCACCATTGACCAAGGCCGCACAAGAAAAAAAGCCGCAGCTCGAGCTCAACAATACATCGTCGCAACATGTATCCTGCAGAATATGGCCCTTTTTTCTAGTGGGCTTTGCTCAGACGACAAGCTTTGTTTTACTCAGTACTGTTTTTGTCAATTTGCCAGTGAAACGAATACATCTGATTTCATCATTAACTAAAATATGTCTCGAAAGTTTGTATTGTAAATGTAGTTAGAAATTATAATACTTAATAATATTAAGGTAGTAAATTAACTATAATAGGTTTGGCTGTCTGTAAATATAGGCAAGTTCTATAACCAGTCGGGGAATTTGGTATTCAAAAATATTCAATTACAATTTGGAAACATGATGTATAGTGTTTTTAACACAATCCAGAGTATGCCTAACTCTTTGGGCACAAAACAAGTCCATAAGTTGGCAGCCCTGTTTCCTTTATTTCAATACGATCAGCTGATGTGCTTATATTGCATGTTGTTGTAGTTGTCTACTTGGATTGGCTTGGCTGAGAATTTATTGTGAATAAGACTCAACTGGTTCCTCTTTCAAACACAATCCATGTTCAAAATTATTGGTGAATGCAGATCTGTAGAAAAGGTTAACTAGTAGGTAGACATCCTAGATATGAAACAGCTGCAGCAAATTTTTCACTGAAATCTAACATAGTTGACTGAGCTCCCTGAGTGTGTTTACATCATAATTATTTTATTCTTCTTCTTAGTTTTCAATTCCTGGGTATTTTGATAATTGGTGTGAAATAAAATATGCATTAGTCGTTTGGCTTTCATAACAATTCAGAGTATGCAACAGAAGCCTTGGCAGCTGTACATTTTCTGTCTGAAGCTAATTTAACAGGGTAGGCTACATCTATACAACTTCATCATCCACATGGAAATGTGATGTCCAATTCTCTCCATAGTCAAGTTGGACTTCACATTTCATAAATCCAACACTATGGTACTTGAATTACTTTTATAGCTACTATATTGGCAACGTATACTGACTGACACTGGTGACTGTGTTAGTCCTAGGTACGTTGTGCAGTAGAGACACCTCGCCAAACACTGCTCCAGGGCCCAGTTGGCCCGTCACCTCGGTCACTACGTTGCCGAACACCGGGTCCACCCTGGCAGTTGTCACCTCCAGTTCCCCTCGCAGGACGAACCCCAGAAATGTGGCGTCGTGGTCCTGCCTCACAATCACTCGGCCGCCACCGTAGTACTCAAAATACGTCGATGCCACCAACTCCCTGCGGACATTCTGGAAAAAGGTTAAGATTAGTAAGAAGACTCAAACTTCGCAAGTGTCGTGCTATGGGCCTAAGAGATAATGAATTGCACCCCAACAAACCTAAAACCTCTTGCGCCTCTGGGCCCAGGCTGACCGTGCCCGTTTCAAGCAACCTTGTTAGTTAAGGTTTACTCATTGTGTTCTATTTCTAATTTAAGAATATTAAACACACATCTTGTTTCAACAACCTCTATTTCCAAACTAAACCAAAAACATGTTTACAAAAATCATCTGTCAACAAAAGATATTTAAACACAAATAAATCATATGACTAAAAGAACAGACTTAATACAACATCCCGCCTCAAGATGTCTACATCTTCATGAAGCTCGGTACCGCCTCGGTATCTTGATGGACCTTCCGTAACGGGTAACTGTGCTAGCATCTGGACGATCACGTGAGTTAGATGGACTGGACAATTAAGGACCGTAGATGAACAGTTTGAAAGAATACAATCTTCTCCGTAGTATGGTGCAGGAACTAAGAACTTCCGGTTTCGTCGAATGGTTCTCTTGTCAGTGTCCACAAGGTAGGAACGTGGTTCGTTCAATTTCCTGACTACTTTACCATGTCTACGTAGATCTGTGACCCCATACCATGCTTCCAACTTCTAATTCACTTAAACCACTCGCTCCATGTCGTTTATCAAATTGCATCTTATACTTCGACTGGTACTTATTCTCCCTCTCAAAAAAGTCTTTATTTTCCACAGGATTTCCAATTAAAGTAGATGGAAGATTGTCTCTTATTTTCCCTCCAAACATAAGTTCTGGAATCAATGGTTCACTGTGATTAGTTGAGTTCTGAATACACACTGGACACGATTTTATTTTTCTTTCTATTTCTTGAGAAATTCCAGGCCACCACATGGTTCCCAAAGCACGTTTCCTGGTTTTTGTGATTCCCAAGTGTCCACTGTGAAGCCTCTCGAGCATCTCCGCTCGTAGTTCCTGAGGTATTATCATCCGAGTTCCTCGAAGCAAAAACCCATCAATACAACTTAACTCTTCTTTCACGTTAAAGTACTCTTGAATCTCATTAGGTAAACTTGATTTTACAGGCCATTCGTCTAGAATTTTTAACTTGAGTCGTGCACATATTGGATCCCTCATTTGTGAGTGAAGTACTTTTGTCACATTTTCGTCTGTAGTGTTTATACTAATCATACTGATTTAATGGGCGAAGGCAATTCACCATCTTCATTAGCCGGAATAGGACTTCTCGATAGCAGATCTGCTACGGCAAGGTCTTTTCTTGGGGTCCAGGTCATGCAATAATCGTATCTCATCATACGCATTCGGAATCGCTGTAGCCTCGGTGAAAGCTCGTCCAAATTTTGTCTTTTGAAAATTGAGACAAGCGGTTTGTGGTCGCTCTCAATTGTGTACATTTTACCCATCAGGAAACATTTTAAACGGTCACTTGCCCATGTGAACGCAAGCGCTTCTCTCTCAATGTTACTGTAGTTTTCTTCAGCAGGCGTTAGAGTCCGAGATATATATGCCACAGGTTTCTTTTTTTCTCCTTCAACTTGTAGTAGGCTAAAACCGCTCCAAGACCTTTTTTTGAAGCATCACAAGAAAGAATCGAGGGCTTTTCCGGATCGTAAACAGTTAAACATGGCTCTGATGATAAAATCTGTTTTACTGTGACAAAAGCTTTTTCCTGAGTTGGTCCCCAAAAGAAATCGTTTTTAGTCTTTAACAAGCTCGTAATTGGCTCTAAAATCTCACTGCAGTTCGGAATAAATTTAGCCAGAAAAGTGATCATGTCCATGAATCTCTGGACTTCATTAGCATTACTTGGGGCTGGTAAGTCCACAACTGCTTGTATCAGGCTTGATTCCTTCCTTAGACAGCACAAACCCCAAAAATGTCACAGTCTTCTTGCAGAACTCAGACTTCTGCTTATTCAAAGTGATTCCAATAGCTTGCACTCTCTCTAGAACGGCTCTAAGACACTCGTCGTGTTCCTCTTTCGTTCTTCCCCATATCAAACAGTCATCAATGTGCACTAAACAGTTCTTTGCCCCTTCTAAAGCTTTTGACATACGGCGCTGAAACTCTTCATGAGCAGATGTAATTCCAAAAGGTAACTTACAGAATTTATACCTCCCGAAAGGGGTGATAAATGTTGTGTAATCTTGTGACTCCTCTGCAAGGTTCAGTTGCCAGAAACCGGAATTCGCATCGATCTTGCTGAAGTACTTGGCTCCCGCGATCTCGGACAATGAAAGTTCAATCTTTGGAATAGGATAAAACCGACGTTTCACACTGTTGTTGAGTTTGGATAGGTCCACGCAGATCGTAACCCCACCTCTCTTTTTTGCGCAAACTACCATTGGTGCGCACCAATCAGTCGCGTGTTCAACTGGGAAAATCACTCCTTTTTCAAGCATATTCTCTAACTGCTCTTTCACCTTGCTTTTTAAAGGTATTGGTACAACCCTGGGGGTAGATATAGCATAAGGAACTGCATTCTCCTTCATTTCTATCTTGTACTCTCCTTTCATATTTCCCAATCCTTGAAATAAATTAGGGTACTTAGTAACCCAGTCAATATCTGATGAATCTACAAAAAAGATCCTCTTCACCAGGTTCAGCTCTTCACAGGAACGTCTGCTAAGAAGTGGAACAGTGATCTCCTCAGGAATATACGCATGATCATAAACCGATACACCCTTATGTTCAAGCTTCAGCCTTAAAGTTCCCAAAATATTGATTCGTTCTTTCTTCTTTGCACTGAACACAGGGGATTTGCACTTTCCTAGAGGCAGAGTCTTAATAAAATCACCAAGAACTCCTACTGGAATCATGGTTACATCAGCGGCTGTGTCAAGTTTAAATTTTATAAGCCCTAACACTTGGTTTCCACAGCTTGCTTTTACCTCCTGGGCCCAGGCTCTGTTATTGTTTTCTATATTCCCGATGAAAATCTCAGGAACCTGTAGATCTCCACAGTCTGAAACTTGCTGTTCGATTTCTTTAACGACGTTTTTGTTTTTTCTCATCCACTTTTCGCGGTAGGGACAGCATCGAAAAAAATATCCAATCTCGGAACATTTGTCACATTTGGCTTTCCTAGCAGGGCATTCGGCCAGTGATCCGTGCCAATTATAACCACATTTCCTGCACTTCTTTGTATTTTCTGCATCCTCAATGTATTTCTGGTCACAAACTCCTTCAGTCCGATTCGGTTTACCGTTTTGAACTGACGTTTTATTTACCAAAAAAACATTAGTATTGGCGAGTTCACGTTTTTGGCGTTCTAGCTCCTCATGTTGGCGCAAGTTATTAATTGCTTTCTCCAGAGTCAGTTGAGAGTCCAGCTGGAGTCTATCACTTAGAGCCTCATCTTGCATACCAATAATGAGGACGAGAAGCATCATCTCATCATTTAGTTCACCCCATGCACACGTTTTCGCAAGGCCATGCAAATCTGTTATACATTTTTCAGATGGATCACTCCCTTGCTTGTGTCTCAAAAATTTTGATCTCTCATAAATTATATTCCGTCTTGGCACAAAGTATTCATCAAAGGCCCGAAGAGCCTCATCATAAGTATTAGGTTTTGGTGAAAACGAATCGAAAATATTTTCACTTCTACTACCCATTGTAAACAAAAGTACATCGATTTGCCGAGCGTCAGAAGTGCTATCCAGACCGCAACCCCGTCTGTACCTTTGAAAGCGATTCCTCCAGGAATGCCACTCATTCGGAGTAAAAGAAAACATTTCCGGAGTTGGTAACGTGATATTGATCATCGGAGTAGTAGTACAGATAACTGCATTATTTTCTCGGTTCGTATGTACCAATGTTAATCCTCGTGACTCATCTTTAGTCTTTCTAGATGCCCTTTCTGAAATGTAGTTGAGTTCACTTTGGGTGTCGTCCTCACCGTTGTCCTCATACCTTTGCCTCCGAGTATTTCGTTTTTTTCTGCCCTTACTTGACATTATGTGTGGTTTTAGACTTTCAGTTCGATAAAAATCCACTAAGCTGCCACCATGTTCTATTTCTAATTTAAGAATATTAAACACACATCTTGTTTCAACAAACTCTATTTCCAAACTAAACCAATGTTTACAAAAACATGTTTACAAAAATCATCTGTCAACAAAAGATATTTTAACACAAATAAATCATATGACTAAAAGAACAGACTTAATACAACACATTGACATAAGTCTCGAAGGTGTTTTTTGGAAACTATTCTGTCACATTCAATACCGACAGGTGTATTAACCTATCTATTTACTTAGAATGGTGAGCAGTGGTGACTGGTAGAAAGGTAAACATACGTTGCCAGCCAACACCCTAGAGTGATACATTGTTAGTAGACTTTCTTGGGAAGCAGGTGAGTAGACTGGAGACTAGTTGAGATTGTTTAACACATTCAGTTCTAGCTGATACATGCTTATAGAAGCAGAGCAGTGTAGGTGGAAGGGGAGTGTTTAGGAGGGCTAGGAGGCTGAACTGTGGACAAGGGGATATATTTGGATGTCTTCATGTTTAAATTACTGCAGGCCAGAAACAGTGGCGGTTCTAGGACCTTGTCAAGGAAGGGGCTGCCGGGGTATTCCACATCCCTAAAAAGTAGGGGGGTTCTTCCCCAAACATTTTGTATTTTTAAAGCTGTTTGGTGACTTTATAAGTAATTTCTTAGATCTAAAATTGTGTCTAAAAAAGTCTGTTAGGTTTTTATGACGAATTGTATGGTTAAATTTAATTTTACAAGGTCCAATGGGGAGGCTTTTGCCCCTGTAGCCCCCCCCCCCCTTCCTTGGAACTGGCACTGGCCGACGGCCTCAAAGAATGAACTTTGATGCAATTTTAAATAATTTTAAAACACAAAAATATACTTTGCTCTTTACTTTTTATAGCTCTCCGTGATCTCTCACTTCTAAAAAAATGGCTAGATCAAAATGTGCTCTCACTTAATGTGAACAAGACTAAATTTCTTCTGATATCACTCAGTACAAGCACTGATTATAGTCTAGACAATTTGAAGATTCATTGTTGCGGCGACCATAACAGTATATCTTTGTAATTGTGAATACATTGAAAAAGTAGATTATTACAAATATTTAGGTGTTTATTTTGACTACCGAATGAGGTGGTCAGAGCATGTAGATTTCTTAAAGAAAAGGATTCGTAAATACATATGCTTTTCATCAACTGAGTGTCATTTTGGACAAGGAGGACGTAGAGAGAGCTTATTTCGCTTATGTACAATCCTTGATTTCATTTGGTATTATCTGCTGGGGAGCATGCTATCACACCACCTTGGAACCCTTGAATGTGGTCCAAAGATCAATTTTGAAAGTAGCTTTTAGAAAAAATAAAAGGTACTCCACTGATGCACTATTCCGTGAGACGGGAGTATTACCAGTCAGACATATTTTCATTCAGTTTCTTCTTAGTCACACATTCAAAAACTCAAACACGATTCTTACAGCAGTCACACATCAACACTACACAATATATTCACATAATGTTGGAATATCTGTCCCTCAGCTACATAAGTCAGTTCTAACTACCAACTGTTTTTATGTTGCTCAGATTCTATATCGAAATCTAATTCAAAAATATAATATTCAACACATTTTTAGTTTACCCTCAATACAGAAATTCAAAAAACAGATGCTTGTTTTACTGCACACGATTACCAATGAAGAGGCCGAAACTTTGATCAGACCTAACCTTACTTGACCCTGACTAAACAATCCTTGACCCTTCGACCCCCTCGCCCTCACAATGTCTCCTGTCTTAGATTGCACTGGCTTTGGTTGTCGTCACCGACATTCTCTTATCCGCTATACGATCAAGTTAAATTAACAAGGCTTAAAAACCTTCCCAATTTTAGTGTGTGCCCTCAATTTGCTTAGACTGATAACAGCCAGGCCCCTACGCACAGGCACCTGCCCATGTAGGCCTATCCCATAAGTAAGGCAAATTTTATTTTATTTTAGAAATATCGTACTGTTAAGTTGTATAGCTACTCTCTGTTTTAGTTTATATTCTTGGGATAAGTAAACGTTTTTCATTTCATTTTTTTTTCATTTCATTTCATTTTTCCTATATCCTCAAGACAGTCATGAAAAGGTTCTAGTGTTTTTCCTTTGGTTGAATGACTTGTATCATTGACTATACCTTGTTAATATTCTGAGTGTTAAGCAAGTAAAGTAAACAGCCATCTACTTTTCTTCGAAACAATTTGAGATTGGGTGGCTATAAAAAATAGCAACATTCGCAAGCTTTAATTCTACAAACAAGAATTTAATCCTGTCCACCCATACGACATGAGGTCATTTAAAAGTAGTCATGGTCATTTGAAAATATAAAGTGTCAATAATTTAAGCCTACCTCAGACAACTAATATTCTAGAACAATACAATCACTCTATAAAATAGATCACAGTCGATGGATTTCAATTGTATAGAATTTCAAATGGATAAACATTTTAACAAATTTGTTCATAAGACAGTTGTATTACTTACCTCGGGGTATCGTCGAAAACATTTCAAATTCCCTATAACCTTGTGGAGATCGTCGATTTCCTCCTCAGTACGAAGTCGTTGGTCCTTCCGTAAAAGTGACTTGTTCTGTTACAAATTAAAACAATCATGTGTAACTTTACCAGATTAAATAAATACCAGCATAAATGAGTAATGTAATACAATTTTATAGGTTTGAATGCTTGAACCTCCAAAGAATCTTCTAGCCCTTTAATATTTTAGCCTGTTTTTTAATCCTTGACCTTTTGGTCCCTCATGTTATAATAGATTCACTTTCTTTATTTTCTCTGATATTTTGCCAGGATTCAGAGGTCCCTATTAGAAAATAAGCTGTAAGTTGTTGAGTAAAATCATTCACCAGTCCCACAAACATTATTCATCTATCAGATTTTTATAAAAATTTGTCTTAATTGCGGTCCCTTATATGTGGTGCACATTATTAACATAAAGTGGACCACATTTCTTTCCCTGAAGTATAAGATTAAATCACAATCGCCTCTTCTGATGTACAGCGTACGTCCTGGTTTACGTAACTGATAGCTATAATCTGCTACTTTTCTTAATTGGTTGTCATGTCTATCTAAAAAATATTCCTGGTTAGTTCCTTGTCCCTATCCTATTGTATTTGGCTCTTCCGGTAGCAAATAACCTGTACCAGTTACAGTTTTTGCTGGAAAATACCTGAATTCTGAGACTCTTGTACTTATCTTTTCCATCTAAAACATTCCTCTTAGTATAATTATCGACATCCTTGATATGTTGTTCGTATTCTAATAGAATTCCGGATCGTTACCTGGATGCTGAGGCTCTGATACTTCTCCTTTGTCATGACGTCTATCCGCAGCACATTCTTCTTGATGTCCTCGTCCACACCCTTGCCCACGTTTGGTCTCTCTGTCAGCCACGGTCTGTGGTTCATCACCATTCTCCCGAGGGCTCGGAACCGCGTCCTCCCGCACAGTCGACCTGTCCGGCGCCTCCTCTGTAACACATTTAGATTCTGTGCAAATTGAAAAAAAAGGTTACACGGTTTGAAATACATCCTACGCAAAAGTGATGCACTCTTTACAAGAGACATACATCGCGCATGGCAATTAAAATAATAATCAATGGCTCCGTAATCTTAAATATTTTCTATGAGGAGACTTCTTATTTATATGTGGAATGTGTTAAAGTCAATATTCTAAGGGTAGCTTTGGAATAATTTTAAACAAATCAAATTTGAACAGTGAATGGCTGGATTGAATGGCTTTGGGTCCATTACAACCTTCAAAGATGATTAGTGTCCCTGAGATATCTTGAACATTTAAAGTTACTACTTAATAAAGTTTAGATGTTCGATAACAGATCGCTTGTACAATATTCATATATAGACTAAACATATACTCATAATTTTGTCATCCTGGAGACATCTTCCATCACACAGGCTATAGTCTATGGTTTAATGTAAGACAATATTTTGCAAGCTGATGTACACACCTTAATTTTGATTATTATAGATTTCAAATCTTGAATTCAAAATCAGTCTTGTTCTTGTCCAAAGGCACAATATAAGTTAAGATAGATACAAGATAACTTACCCGGATATGTCGGTTCATGTTGCTTTGTTTCGCTGGATACATTATTTTCAGGTTATAAGTAGTAACACAATTTTTACACAGTTTTGATTAGACTTTCGTAAGAGCACTAATTTTAATAAATTGCATCTCATGGAAATGTGTTTTTAAACTAGAAGTATTTGTTAAACAGATATAGTTTTGTAGATCAAAATTTATTTGACGCGTTATCCAATAAGTATTTTCATAAACAATCATAAATTATTTACAAAATTACAGCTGAGTAACTTTAAGAATTGATTTATCCACAGGCATGGGGAAGGTGTCCATCAAACTTTTTTATTAGGGCCTTTTTTAGCTCAATTTTTTTAATGAGGATGTGGGGGTACGGAATAACTCCGGGTAGAAATGAAAATATAAAAACAAAACAATAAGGATAAACAACATATTATACGATTCTCCATTTCATAATACTATAACATCACTGTTACAATAAGAATGTTAATTAATTTTAAAATGATAAAGATATTCATAAAGTAAAAAACATGTAGCTAAGTTAGCTCAAGTTACTGAGCTCTGGTTATTAATTATTTTTATGTGTATTGTATTATCGATCAATATATAATTATTATACATCGATGGTATTATCTTCATTGCTTTTCTTCTCCTTTTAAGCTGCAGTTGGCCAGCCTGCTACCACACCTAGCCCACCCACTGTCTCCAAGGTAACATGTTGGCCATTAAATTATAAACACCTGGAATTTGACTTTAGCATAACAAATCTTCCCTGTAAAAGGAAGGTATGTACTCTTTCAATGCTCTCAACTATGAAACTCATTTGATTTCATGAGGTTTTATTTACTCGATTTGGTTCGGTTTATGAGATTATAGCAAGAAAAGGGTTCTAATAAACTGATAATTACTTATTTGCCATTTGTATAGTATCTACTGTATTTGTGTTGCAATTTTAGTCTATTTTGTAGTGTTTATTGTTACTTTTTAAATTTCTCAAACTTACTGTTGGCCTCTCATCGTTAGTTCTTCAATTAATATGTCCAATAATATGTAATATGTTAATATGTATTCAATTACAAGTAAACCCATTTATTGATTGGTAATCATAATATTGATTTTCCTCTACTATTCACTGCTGGTAAACCAAACCGTTTTGCATTATTTGTGAACAAGGAAATGACATGGCTGATATTATACAATAGAACAATATAAATTCTTGCTTGTAAAAAAAGCTACTTCCAATAAATTTATGAATTTAAAACAATTTAAAAAATAAAGGTTTAAATTATAAAAAAATAGTTTTTTTTTCTTATTCTATGGAAAAGAAATCATTTTTTTGCGACGTATCATTTGCATAGGCTATCTAAAATCTATATATTAATTTGAAACTGTTTTTCTTTGTGACAGCTAATTTGAGAGAACGGCTGGGCGTAGAAACTCGGTAGGGGTCTCTAAAGAAAGGTCGCTTGGTCTGTAGATGAGCCATCAAAAGAGAAATGTGGTAAATTCCCTTGGGGCTCTGCCCCAGTGGCCTTTAAATTACCATCCCATGTTATTCTTATGGAGGAAAAACGGATTTTTGTCACAGCTAATTTCAAAGAACGGCTGGGCGTAGAAACTTGGTAGGGGTCTCTAAAGAAAGGTCTTGGTCTGTAGATGAGCCATCAAAAGAGAAACGAGGTGAATTCCCTTTCCCTGGGGCTCTGCCCCAGAGGCCTTTGAAGTTCCCTCTTCAGATTTGTTTACATTACGACCATATGCATACATTTTCACTAATCTTTAATGAAACAGCTGTTAATATTTAAATTGTGATTTACTGAATCTGTCAAAATGAAGTATTTGCAATGATTTTTTCAGATTTTAAAATCGATTTTCTTTTGCATCGTGTCATGTTTTGCAATACTGTATAATGTTCACCAAATCAGTGGAAAATATCACAGTAACTCTTAAGATTATTTCTTATGAAGTTAACTTATATCTATTGTGTGGGTTGGTTTCTGCATTTGTTTACCACTTCTTGGAGATTGTACATAGGCTTGTTGTACGTAGACGATATTCTTTGGCGTATTGTATCTGTAGACGATACTTGGGTTGGTGTAATTATTACAATGGAAAAAAGCGAGAAATACTGGTCAATTTGATATACTAAAAATAAAACTGAATTAACACTGTACTACATTTCTTGAGCAATCATTGAAACGAACACGCTGATTTGCAAACAATGGAAACATAGAAAAGTCATAGAACACAACCAAGTAGAAGAAATAAAATTAATGTTTTTTTTTTCATTTAAAATCGTTATTACATACAACCTAATGCGGGCTATGCGGCTATGAGTGGGAAACATTTGTAGAAAACGCTAAAAAACAATATAAACTTTTGAAAAAAGATAAGATATTTACAAACAAATTTGATTATGTCTAACTGTACACATCGTGAGTATTTCCATATTCTTTGAGTCCACTCTTATAAAGTCATCGGAAATTATGACTGTTATTCTATTTAAAATAACGCCTGTAATGCTTCGCAATTGCTTGAATTCGAGCAACAGGTACACTAGTAGCATAAGATTCTAAACCAAGCCAGACGATGTTTTAAACATGGGTAGTTTTTTCTTCTTCATAGGGGTAAAATCACATAGCTTTTGCATATCCATTATCCAAAAGGGGGGTTGTTCTTTGACACCATATTTTTTTAACAAGAGGTTTTCTGATAGCACCAAGAATTTGAGTTAGGGGATTCAAAGGGTGTTCTTGCCTTAATCTTCTACTGAACAATCTTGATTAGTTTCATCTTTTAATAATTGTGACCGCCAACTGATATTGTTTAACAAAAGGAGAATTCCTTACTGGCTGATGAGACTATTCTTAATATGCCAAGTCAAAACGGACCACTATTGTCTGAACCATAAAGTTTGGAAACTCCAAGAAATTGAACTTATATAAACTATAATTTACACAACAGCTCCTGACACGAAGCGTCCAGCACAAAATATTTGACCTTCTGTGATCTAGTTGCCTTGCTATTCACCGATTAGAGTAGACGTCTACACACATGTGTTGTTTTCCGAGAAACTGTTAGATTTTCTTTAGTTTTGCGAATAACAAATATTGTTCACTTTTGATGTATGCAAAACTAACAACAATGAATGGGAAAACACTAGCACCAATGTTTGCTTGCCAAGTTAGTTGTGACCTTAGGGATGGCTATGACCGATAAATGCCTTCAGGCAGTTTATGATAGGTTATAGGGACATGATGAATGATTGTGATCCCTTCATGCCTCTTATACCAATTAGAGAGTACAGTTGAAAAACTATTTGAGCAAAGTGAAATAATTTTGATGTTAAGAAACATGAGTTTTAATTGTGTACACCGGTATCCAATTCAACACCACAAGATTTGTAACCTTTTTTAATAATCAAGCGGTATATTATCTGTATAGTCTTGTTACTCTCTATCAATTTAGTGGTGTAGTGGTAAACTGTTTAAGTGTGGGACCCCATCATCTCGGAAAACAAACCTGGGTCCCCTTTCAATAAAATAGGATTATTATAAAATCAGAGTGGGAACGCTGTTTCCAAACAATGCTATTATATTTACATCACTGCTGCCAGTGCTGCCCCATAAAAAAACACTAAAAGTCCCAATGACAAATGGCAACTGTCATCAGAATCCAATTACCTTAATGGTTTTTGTAGGTAGCATCAGCATATCAGCATGTACACGAAAGAAAAGACCCTTCAGCTGCTAACCTCTGCCTCGGCAATCCCCAACAACCTAGCAGTCAGCTGTTTACGGAGAGGAGCCACTGCCGAGTCCATCGCTGTAGTTCACCAGGTGACTATATCTCAATGAACATCAGCTCATTCTGAACAATTACATCCGCCCCACTTTTCCATATGGACTAGGCTTTAATCCAGGGTGCACAATTTTTAGAAGCTAAAAATTTCAAAAATTTTGGTTTTGTAGAGTAGCCTATGTGTTATTTGTTATGTAGTAATATTCCACTCTAAAAAAATCTCAATTTGGAGCTTAAGACATAAGAGCTCACAAATTTTGAGCAGTATTTTATTTTCCTAATAGCTTATGTACTCATTTTGAGCTACTTACATACTTAATTAAAAAATGTCGCGGACCCCCCCCCCCCCCTTTCAACTGTTGCTTCCCCTCGATAGGGTGGAGGGGGAAAATTTTTGTAGCCCAGGGCTCTATTCCCCCTAAACCAAGGAATGATCAAACCAGACATGTAGAATCATACCTCAAAAATAAAACTGTCTTCAAGTTCTTAATACAGGTGATAAAGCTACTGGATTATGCCATCGTTTAACCAATCAGATAACAATATTTGTAAGAACTTAAAAGATATTTTTTTCCATTATGAATTTCATTAAAATTTAATCCACCCATGCTTTGGAATGCATCTCAAATGAAATACTTTATTTGGTTACCATTCTTTGCTCACTCAGTACAGGGCCATACAAAGGGGGGAGGGGCAACCGGGGCAAGTTGCCCCGGGCGCCGTGAAGCTTCTATTATTGTATTAACATAGTATTGAAATATGCGAATGCAACTATTACTGAAGGGGACGGGGCGCCACTACCACGTTTGCTCCGGGCGCCGCCAACCCTAGGGACGGCCCTGACTCAGTATAGGCGATACACCAATGGACTTTTTCCACCAATATCAATACGAAAGAAAAGAATTTGCAGGGTGAGCCACCCTAAGGTCTCAAACATTCCAATTTTTGGACCTTTGAATAGATAGAGGTTCACAGCAAGTACACTCCAAACATGTTTATTCATTCTACAGGGTTTCATCAACATGGTAGGGGTGGGGGAAGAGGAGCTCAGTGCAAAGTACATCCCATGCACAGACACGGCACAACGACAGAGCGCCATGGTCACACAGGTTGGCACATACTTTGAATTAGGTAACTCATTTAAATAGTATATTGCTTAGAGATGTTGATATAAGAATTGCATTGATGAGTCGGTAAATTTAACAGACTGTGAAACTAAGGCAGCAAAATCTTGCATCCAAATTCCACCAATTTAACTATATCAGTAAATTCCATCCTTGTACTGTACCAGCTCACCACTCGCTATGCTATAGATACATTACATGTAGGGAGTAGGGCCTACATTGTACAGGCCTAAGAGGCCAATGTGGACAAGCACATGCATGGTTAAAAGAGGCAAGCATAACCCCCGTAATTCACACAGC